TACCTCTTCCACCCTCTCTTCTGGGGATGTTAACCCGCTCAATTGCAGCTTTTGGATGTTATTATTATTATCATTATTATTATCATTACTATTATTATTATAAGGGGCGGCTCGCAGAGCGAGTCGCAAGTTCATCGCGAAGCAAGGAACTGGGGTTCCAGGGGCACTCCCCAACTGGACGAGACAGCTTGCACAGCGAGCTGAACACGGCTAGGTAGTGATCCTATAAAATCATTCGAAGTAAAAAAATTGGAGCCAAGTTCGGAGAAATAGAAGCCATAATCGTGTTGAAGAAAAACCTCTCGCATTTGATACAGAAATCAGCAAGTGTATGGCGTGTGAGGTTTTTCTCTGGAAAGGATCCTACTTTCATTTCCCTGAGTTTTGCCAATTTATTTGTTTACAATGATTCTTCAGGTGCATGCGCAGGGGCTGTAAACTCATCAGTCAACTCATAGCTGAATGTGGAATGAAGTCGATGTCACTTTCTTTGATTGAGTATTCCACATCATGTGATAATACTAGGTTAGGAACATATCAGCTTATGAGTTAACGGGGGCTATTTTTCGGCTAAAAATCTGTCGAGATATTTTACCGAATCAATGTGATTTATTGCACGCCAGAAACTGTGACAAATCACCCCAAAGACTGACTAACTTTTTCCTTGTTCATATATGAGCAGTCAATGCCAGTCAATGCGCTGCATGCCATTATAACATCTTGGGTCATTTTTCCTAATATTTAGGGGCCAAAATAAAGAAGAAGCTTAAGGTCCAGTAGATTTCCTTGCGCAACAGTTGCGCCTTTTGTCTCTAGATTTTGAGGAGGCGTGAACATAAAGTTATCTTTTCGGTCTCCACAAGTAAAACAGAATAAAGAATGAATTAAACATTCCATGATCGGTGCAATAAGCAATCAGTTTTGATTCATTTTTTTATCCAATAGTTAAAGGTAACCTACTGTCAAACCGAAGTCTGTAATGATTGAAGAGACTGTGAGAATCAGGTTTACCTATCATAGGATGATCATTTCATGGACTCCTCATCTGTAAGCATTTGAGAACTTCTGCCGGTGAGAATAGATTATGCTCTATTTGGTCTGGCTCTGATGATACTTTTTGGACCTCTGTTCCATCACTTTCCAAGCTCAGTTTTTTTTTTCCTCATTCATCCAGTTTTTTGTCTCTGCAGGAGAATGAATGTTTTCAAGAAGCACTACAAACCACTCAGCGTAAATTGCTGAAGGCATCCAGAGACAAGAGCTTTCTCTTGGACAGGCTTCTCACATATGAGAAAGTAGATGTTTCCTCCTCTGATGATGATGATACCGAGTCCTCAGACAATGGAGAACCACCCCAAGACCTGAAAAGGTCAGTAAGTATCTTGTCGGACTTTTCTAGGAGTTCACTCTTCACACTACAGAACTAAAAGACTAAAAAAGACAGAGCACGTCGCATTGGTTGATTTCAATATTGTTTAATTAGAGTGATTACTCTCAAAATATTTTTAAAGCTGTCGATTGATGTACTTTAGTAAATGGATGGATCCTCTTTGTCATAAGGTAACAATCAGGAGTAAATAATTTATTTTCTTGAGCAGAGAAAAGTTTTTATAGGACCAATGTAGGTATCCCGATTTGAAGTTTTGACCTCCGTGTCCCTCAGATTCCGAAAAATTTTTTACAAAAAGCATACTTTGCTCAGCCAAAAATTTGTGTATTAAGTAAGATCAGAAAGAGGACAACATGTGTTCGCAGTTCAAGACAGTTTTTTTTTAAAATGCAATACATGTTAATTTCTAAACTACTCTGTCAGTAGTATTTAGAGTTACTAAAATAATCTCTTTTTTTCTTGGAAGGGGTGGGGGAGGGGGAGAGGATATTGTACCTCTCCCCTGTATCATAATCATTCTCACATATGGATCCCAGTTGCTACTCGGGAACTTGTCAGCAGACCTAGGCTTACTAAGAGCAAATTAATGTGAATTTATGCATTTAACCAGGAAAAAAATGGATCATGGACCTCATATCTATGGCAGTGCATCATCAGGCAACTCATCCAAATCAGTGCCAGCCAAAAAGAGACGCATACCTCAACGTCCACCAAAGCAGAACACAGCGCCACAAGTATGACTCATTAGATTACCAATTAATCCATCCTCCTATCCTGTAACTAGTATTGGCTTTCCCAGAGATGCAGGAAAAGCTCAAACATACGAGTGGGCGCTCATGTAATAACGTGGAAAAGCCCAAATTTTGTGGGAAGGCAAATAAAAGGACTCTGCTAACCTCATATGGGGAGGTGTATCATGATCTATTTATAATTTTTTTATTGCATTGAACTTATCAATGGATGCTAATTAAATCATCATTGCGCCAATTCTCTACAAGCTACTGCACAATCCGCAGCTGAAGTTTCCATAATTCATTAAATAAAAGGAGGCAGCGCGGCAATATAGAGTCAAAACGACCCCGCTTCCGTTCAACACTGGAGAACATTCTAGAAGAAACAAGGAAAAACTCAACCAGTGTGAGGAAGCCAGCCAGGAAGAAATTGGGAGACAGAGAAACTACTTTGGATGGTCAGAGAAAAAGGCTTGCGGAATCCCAGATAAGACTGCCTGGGGTTTTCCTGATTTCCTTGGCGACACAAAACAGTCTGTACTCCAGTGACGAAATGAGGGATCTCTTTGACTATTTCTCACCGCTTTACCTCCTTTTGTTCAATCTATTATCGAAACTTGAACCGCGGATTGTGTGCAAATGGTAGCTTGTAGAAAGTTGGTGTAAAGATGGCTTTTGATCAGAATCCATAGAGGAGTTTAATGTAATAAAAAATTGGGAAATCTATTGTTGTACACACTGCGCAGGGTTCTCTGGTGAAAAGCCGATGGCTGCTTGCGTGAAAATGTGAAAGCCCAAAATGTTCTGCACCTCTAGCTGTTTTCCCATCCGGCTACTGCCAAAACTAACGTAATAATATTAAAAAAACATTGCTGCAATGCTTATTTTAATAGATATGTTGTCACCAAGTTTTTGCAACCGATTTTTGCTGGGGGAAGAGGGGTTACCTGTTGAAGAGGGTACTAAGTTGAAGTATTTCAAGACTTATTTTTTAGGATACATATAGTAGCTCCTTGTTATGTTTTTCGGATGTAAGCCGGCCATAAATACCCCTTTTCTCTGAAAAATTGGTTTTCTATGCTCAAGATGTTTGGTTTTAAGGCCCTTCACAAAAATGATAATAATCTCAACAATGAGCTAGAGTTACTTATAGATTGCAATGTGCGGATTGTGAGATTAGTTGTGTGGGACCAGGGCTAGGGTGTCTCATCTTTTTTAAATTTCCGAATTCAAAGGAGGTCTCCAAAAATATTTTTTGTATTCATAAAGACCCCCTGTAACCTTACATAAGTACAAAATTGACTTTACTGCCGAAATCCTGCAGAGGAATTGTTATGAATGTCTACTCTTTACTCCGCACAATTTAAAAGCATTAGAATAAGTAAATGGGTTCAACTTGTATATGGTCATAAACTTAGCTGAAATTTTGAACAATATTATTTGAAGAAAGTAAGTTATTTATTTTTATTTTCTCTGTTTTTTTTATGGACAGCTTTCTTCCCTTCTGAGCAGTGAAGGACTTGGTGATGGGCATATGACCCCTGAAGAGGTTGAGCGCCATCTTGAATCGCAGCAAGGGCATATGGAATTGATTCCTAGTAAGGTTCCTTCAACTGTTCCTCCAGATTTATTCAGCAATGACCCTTCTTTTGACAGGTACAGTTTTAATATATCATCCATAGGTTTTCAACATAAAGTAGTTCATTTGCTTATCATCATTGGAGTTTTCGCATGTGTCAGGGATTTGAGTTTTCAATACGTCTCCCTATGTGAAATTTCGCGAGAAACACGAGGGTGCTACTGGTTTTCTCTGAAATCAACTCTCAACCTAAAAAAAGCTCTCAAAGTTTAGGCTGTAATGGAGGGGATATTCCATGCCACGTTGAGAGTCCTAGAGTCTCTTTATACCCAGAGTTAAGACAACTCACTTTTGGTTGGGCTGAAAGTGGCCTAAAAAAAAATCCAATTCTGATTGGTTCTCGCTCGTGGAGGCCGAAACGAGTGCACCAAGATGGCGGTACCTCGAATGTGAACAAGAATAATGAAAACATTACCTAATTGTGGTTTATCAAGAGTAAATTGTTATTTCCATCGGTCCAAAATGAAAATAGATTAAGAAATTATTCACAAACCAATCTCATTTTCTTTTTAATTGATCAATTTGTTGATGTTGTTGTTTTTGTGTGACAGACATCGCAGGATTCCTGATCCTTATCGATATTGCAACGATAGTGCACCCAAACGAACGATATTGCAATATCATTCGTTTGGGTGCACTCGTTTCGGCCTCCATGGCCAGCCAAGGCCGGCTGCGAGTCAGCTGATAATCGAGTTGTCTTAACTCTGGGTATAAAGGGACTCTAGAGAGTCCGCCTCTATATCTAGTCAAACTCTCCATGCACAGATAGAGAGAAAATACACTAGCAGGGTTGCCACTTTGTCTGAGGACTCCAAAGCTGGAATCACAGCAACCCAGCCGAAGTATTTGCTCCGTATCTGTCCATGGAGTTTGACTAGATATAATGGTGGACCCTCAATGTAGCGTAGGATATCTTCTCCATTACAACCTGAATTTTGAAAGCTTTTTTATAGCTTGGAAATTTATATCAGAGAAAACCAGTAACATCTTCGTGTTTCTTGCAAAATTTGACTTAAGGAAAAGTACCTTAATTGCAAATTCCTAAAACAGAACAGAACTCCATTGCTGCTGAAGGGTGTTATATTCAAATGAAAAAATGCCAAGCCTTCACAACATGAATTACTTGCAAGTTATAAGAAAATCCACATGGTCAGTCCAATAAGTTTGTAGAAAAGTCGTCCATTAAGGATCTACTTTTTACTGTTGATAAAGATCGAAGCACAGAATACCAGGAAATTTTGCGCTGGCGAAATTTTAACATTACTTGATTTTGTGTTCGTTACAACCTCCTATGCACGATGAGCTCTTGAAATTGAACTTTCAATGTGCCAAGTTTAAGAAAAGCAGGTCTGGTACGTCATTTTTTTTACTTTTTTATTGATTTGTAGCGATTCAGCTGAGAGAGTTAGTCCTCTCTTTTATTATCCATCTACGTTTTTTGTTTTGAAGATAATGTTATCAAAGACTGCTTTTTATTGCTCACCCAGATTAAAACTTTATGGTAATATGATTTTTTTTCAGCGAACTGAATGAAGTGTACTGTGAGCTTGATACATCTCCGAACGACATAGCTGATGAATGTTTAACTGTTGACATGATGCCAGATTAAATGAGAGGAGGATTCCGTCATTCCTTTGAAAATGTACTGTTGATGTGTCTCTATCTTTTATCCTCATTTGTCTTCAATGTCAGTATTTTTGTATCGCTGAACAGTTAATGTGTTTTTTCTCCTAATTGTAGCTGAGGTCAAGATGATCGCTACATTTTTTGTTGCATTTGGATACAAAGTTTTCTTGTCAACCGGAACAGATCTATTCCCCTGTTACATTCTAGTCCTGCAGTTTTCTGTAATTTTTTTCATGTAAGGAGATTTAGTTTTTGGACACTAAAAATTGAACTGTGTTGTTTCTCTTCCCCAGCCAGCATTACAATTAAAGTAGGTACTTATATGGCCAGAAAAATTTGTTTTGAAAGCAAATATCAATGCAAACTGGAAGAAAATCACATTGTACAGTATTATTTATTTTTTAAGACATTCATAAATTATAATTCTTTGACCTGTGGAAAGAGTGTTTGAACTTCAGTGCTTTAACATTCTTTACTTCCAATCGAAATTCTGTTTCCTTGAGTTGGTTCAGTCTATTCAGCCACGTTTTTTCATGTTAGCCCACAAATTCTTATCACCTTTGGTTTTTAAGATAAGAGGAGGCACATTGGAATGGTATTCGTTCTCAGTAAAAATGAAATCTTATAATAATCCACCAAGTGTTGCAAATTTCGTCGCTCCTCTGACATGAAGGTGTATCACCATCTCCACAAGAGCCCCTTAATGGGGATCTATTCCAAACCATTTCGCAGTTGAAAAATAGTCGGAAAATGGGAAAGTGCACTCTATCACATGAAAAACATTTAAACTTACGATATAGTATACAGAGTATCCCAGAACACCTGTACCAGGCCTTTTTCTCGGTTGAGTCAGGCCGTATGATGTCTGAGACCGCGGGGTTGAGTAGGGAATCGACCCCAAGGAATCTGAATTTCACCCCCCCCCCCCC